ATCCTGTCGGGAAAATGAGACGGCACCAAGTTGGGTCTTTCCTTTGTCGAATTCTCAGCTCGATAGTAGACTTTTGGTTCGTAGCGCTACAACAAGGCAGTGGGATTACAAGAAGACCCTTCCAGTCACTACTATTCCATTCTATATAGATCAAACACTCAAATTAGTGAGTCTTTTTTGGGCCTTACCCCCCCCCCCCCCAAGGCCGTTTGACACAAAGAGCACAAACACCGCGATTCGCGCTTGGTTCCGTTTTATGGAGCTAAGGAGGGTAAATGATAGTGAAAAAACTGAGATGCTTTCTCTGAAGGGATTTCCTCTAGCATATTGGGACAACGACATCGGTAATAACGCAAAAAACTTTCTTTGCGCGTTTATTGTGGGACTAGGTGACCTCAAAAAAGGACTCTTTCATGTCTAACATGGCTACAATCACCGTGAAAACAGATCAGATAAAGTTTTGGAGTATTCGGAGTTTCAACCGATCTATCGCATATGCCCTCTGAATGACGAAAGATTCAAGAAAAAACTGGCGCTATTCCAGTAACCGGGTGCCAAAATCTTTTGTCGGGGATTTCGCTGAAACTTAGTCCAAAGGGTTACTCGGCTCGCTAATGCCGAATATCATTGTTTTGCACGGTAGCGTCACTTATTAGGGTAAGGTGGGTACGCGGTATGCAGTCAAGGATTTGATGAAAGTTGGCCTAGGGGGGGGGGGTATTCGACATGCTGATCATGAATATCACACTCTTTTTGCATTTTGGAACCTTTTTGTGATTACGGCGGGTTTACGGTAAGGGGACAAAATCTCAAATTTTGCTGAAAGTTGGTCTAAGTGGGTTAGTCCACATGCTGATCACGACTGTTCATTTTGCAGGATAACGCTTTTACGTAAACAATGATCTAAACTGGCCCAAAACAATGAAAATGTCTGTTCTTTCCGCTGTGAATTACCGAAAATCTAACAATAAAGCGTTTTTGCAGCGAGGAAGTTTAATTCCCGTAGTCACCACTCCAGTCTTGAAAACCCTTCTAGACAGTTTTGGGCAAATTCGGAACTTCGACCCATCTACCGTACCCACCGTAACCAATGTAGATGGCGTTATTTTAAGAAACAGCATAAATAGACATGTTCAGCGGACTAGAGAACCCCGTTACGCGCTGCAAGTTCGTAGTCTTGATCCCATATCGTACACCTATCGTAGTTAGCTCTTAAATGTAGAAAAGATTTGATAATCGTGATCAGCAGGTAATTGTCACCGCTTAAATAGAACAGTCAGATAGATCACAAAATAAGTCAAACTTACATCGTCTCCAGCAAGACGTGCCAAAAGCATTTTCTTTTCACGTCCAGTCGCGTGCTCTAGTGGATCGGGATAGTAACCATAATCCTCTGGTGACGCTTCAGTGGCTAGATTTCGATGTCCAGCAACCGCGCTTGGAAGTAGTGTACGCTTACTTAGTGTCGATAAAACGGTTCGAGCTGTTAGCTGAGCCATATCTGAACAGAAAACAGGTAGCAAGCATTATTTAAGAAGACCTAGAAGCGCAAAGAGCGCTCAGAGATGGTGGCACGATGAAGAGATAACATCAAGGAAAGAACTCGCAATAAACAAAGTATGAAAAAGCAGCACGTGCTTCACCTTTGACTATCACACAAAACCCAGTTCAATTCTATGTAAGCAGGTGAAACAGTGTAAATGAACAGAGTTCCAAAAGCTAGGTAATAGTGAAAGGGAGAGTAGAAGCAAAAATGAAACGTTTGCAAGTACCAATTCCTTCAACTCCTGATCTAGTCACTATTCAAATCACAGTCACAATGTTGCATTTCAATTTCTGCGAGCATATGAAGATAATAACTCGGGGGAAAAAACCAATAACGGATCGATACCGCTCAACTGTCGATATCAATCGTGGCCTAAAGGGCAAACGTTCCAAGACCGCAAAAAATCTGTGTGTGCAATTGCACAACCCATCGACAAAATCGCGGAGCTGTTGCAAGAGAAAAATCAGTGGCTTTGCAATCATTGGCGCGAGAACAGTTTCCTGGATTTTATCTGACATACATCTTGTCGAACTTTGCAGTACGGATATGAGAAGAATGTCCCGTCTTCGTGACTCCGGAATATGTTGCGAATGAAGCACCGATGTGGGTCAACTCTGTGATGAACAGATGACAGATGGACATTACAGAAATTGGAGTGTATAACTCACGAAGCAAACCCTTTCAGAACAGAAACATCAACGAGATGACCAGATATGTATCAGCGACACCCAACTCCTGCGTCTCGAAGCTTGTGATGCAGCAGACTACCAACAATAAGTATGTACTCAGATGCCAAGGTGAGGACAGGGTCCGCAAACAAAGTTCCTCATGGCATCGCCGAATTATTGCGGGACTCCCTATGATTTTAGATGGCATAGAGGCTATAAAAACTGAATACGATAAGGAAATAACCATCTGTCGCAACGCTGTGTTCAATGACAAGAGTCTCAGCCGAAATAATTGAAAAAATTATCTTAGCATGTGTCGAGACGCAGACTAATTAGATGGTCCGACAGTCCCCACGCCAACTGGGCGGTGGCGAGCAACTCCAGATGAGCTGTGCCTAACCGGGTGACCGGCGGTTCCCCTTCACCCTTCCTTATCTTATAAATATATAATAAAGATTCTAGTCATAAATGTCATGTTCATATTAAGTAAGACAATCAGGGTGAAGGATTCAAGTCAGGAGAGTGCACCTCCTGGACTTGACACATGTCAAAATCACGAAAACAGTCATAGTAAGGACAATCTCGTCTCTGCATTCTGATTGCAACAGCGAATCGTACATAGTGTAAAATTGACTAGGAGTCTTACTATCTCTTAGCATCTCTAAACGCTTATTCAGTCGTAAATTGGGGCGGTGATTATCAAAGCTCACTTTTTTCGTGGTACTGATGGCCCAAAAAATGAGGAGAGCCAATGCTTTGGTTAGGTCTCTTCCCTTCAACTTAATTATTTGACAGATCGTCAGTAGTCTGTATTATCAATGTGTTCCCTTTCCGACCAGCTAAAAATCAACGCTAATGCTATGTGCCGCATTTGCGGGCATACCGCTTGAGCTTTCAAATTTGCCGCATCGATCGGCGATCGCTGGGCAATGCCGACGCGATGCGGATTGGCTGCACGTCAGGAAATACGCCGCGCGCGGCGGCCGCTTCGCCGCGCACGCCGCGCCCCGATCTTGGGACCCATGGAACTCCCCATATCAAAGACTCCCGGCGGCAAAAACACGGGGGTGGGGATGGAGGCAGGTACATGACTCAATGCCATAAGTAACATTGCGTCTGGAGTGCTGCTCTTGTATTGGTTGAAGTACGTTGCGGCGTCGCTTCGCGAAAAATTCGCGCCGATCGTACCTCCTGACCGTCCCCCATGCGGATGTACGGAAAAGGAGGCACATGGTTGACATGGATTGTAGAAGGCAGCCCAACTTTACACGTTACATCACTACGTAATATATAGCCACCGGATCGTTGGAACAGGCAAACGAGGAGGCCGCAGACGGAGAAATTATGATGAATTACACTGATCTTTGGATTTGGATCGCTGCCAAGTGGCATGCGTTTGGAACGCTGCCAAATTTCAAAACGAGTGACCAAGCATATTTCCGTAAAAGGGTCACACGTATTTTGAAAGGCAATCATGAGTATCGCAATGATTTTGAGAATGAGTCGCCAGGTCCGGGTGTGTTATTTGTAGCTGCTTTTTTTTCGAGCTTGTTATCCCAGAATGTGTCTTTCAAATATGTTGTACTCTTAAAAGTTGCTTTAATGATGCCAAATTGCGTAACAGCGTGACTTGAGCTAAATTCATCTATGTTCCCAACTGTTGGTAAAAATGCTTTATCTAAGAACAGTCACTTTAGGATTGTCTTGCTTCCACGTTTAGACAAAAGAGTACGTGAGTAATTTAGTCTCGCTGGTACTTTTGGAAGCGTTTATCTAATAACAGCCTTGCTTTTGCTTGTGTAATGGGTCCCGCTGGTGCTTTCAACTAGGTATCGGTGTGTAAGCGGCACGTAGGGCAATTGCATCGGGCAGGGAAACAGATTCGATGCCCTGACCTGTCATTCGATGCCCTGACCTGCCACCGAGCGGCTGCCTATCTCTGAGCTCCGCCGGTTTGTCCCATCTACCCTTCCGCTCAGGCATCCGTCAGTCTTTCAACTGCTATATTCTGGATCGGACCCTCGTATTGAGATTCGAGTGGCTCCCCGGTATCCCCAGTTCCCTGAATTCTTGCTAGTCTATTCGGATTCTGTTTTGCCATGTCGGAGACGCCGTCATTCCCGCTACAACCAATCGATCGGCTCAAAAAGCGAAAGATCAACTTCGATTCTCCTGGCACTTCTCCCGATTTGGACATCGCTGCTAAAGAAATGGCCAAGGACGAGAACATCCCCATTTATGCGCGGACGATTATCACGTATCTTCTGGAGACAAGAAGACAAGGAGATGAACTACTAAAGGTCAACCGTGAGTTGCATGAGCAGTTAAATAGTATGCATGCCCAGATCGATCTTTTGAGAAAAGACAACGATCGATTACGATCTCTCATTGCCGCCCGCAGCCCTGAAAACCCTAACTGCAATGAAGTTCCTCCAAACCATTCTTCCTCTTCAAACCAAGCTTTTTTGCCTTGTGATGAACTTGAGCGACGTCGTTCGATTGTAATTATCGGCGTTCCTGAGGATAGAAGTGTCAATAGTAGTTCTCGTGTTTCTCATGATTATTCTTGTGTAGGGCAGATATTTGACTATCTAGGTATCGATTGTTGGCCGGTTTCCATTTATCGGTTGGGTAAACCCCACCGCACTTATAATAGATTATTGAAAGTCGTCCTTCCAAATTCGTATTTTACTGGCACTGTGTTACGACGAGCTAAACAAATGAAATCATTTCCCTTCCAACATGGGATATTTATACGTCCTTCACTTCCTAAGGAAGAGAGGGACAAGCTTCGAAGGGATAGAGAAGTTCGTCGTAACACCCGTGTTAAGTGTACCGTTAACTCGGTTCGCTCAAGCACGGATGCCACCGAAGCTATGAATATGTCGGATGTTGTATTGATGCAAACCCAACCAAATTCTTCCTCCAATGCTTTAAATGTATGAACCTTCCGCGGACTGCCGAATCTTCTTTGAAATGTATCTTAGTTAATATACGATCTCTTAGCAGGAATATTGAGAGCTTTACATATTATATGATGAACAATGACCTTGCCATTGGGGGAATAACTGAAACTTGGTTGCATGAAAAAATTAGTGACAGTTCAATGTTCGGTGGCTTTGATAATTACATAGTGCACCGATGCGACCGTGTGGGTAAGCGAGGCGGTGGTGTGCTTCTAGTTATTAGGAAGAATCTTAACTCTTATCTGGTATTTAATGAATCTGTGCCTGATGGTTACGAAATTATATGTTCTGATATTGTGGGCTACAGAGCGATTCGTGTTGTCTTGGTCTACAGGTCTCCCTCCTGTGCAATAAATAAGACTAGGCAAATGATCAAGGCACTTACGGACCTTCTTAGTTGCGGCAGTTCTTTGCTCCTAATGGGTGATTTCAACTTCCCTGGTATTGACTGGTCATACCACGCTGCTACAATGCCCGCCCGACTTGACAGTGCTGCCAGACAGTTCGTCCATATGTGCCATCAATTTAGGCTTTCTCAAAAGGTATGTTCTAATACGCTGGGCCAACATAAGCTAGATTTAGTATTCACCAATGATTCTTGTCTTGTCAAGGGGGTGAGAGTTGATGCTCCACTGGGCACAAGTGATCACGCTACGGTTAAATTCATTGTTCAAAGCTTTGCTGAGCATACGAACTATGTCATGCGCAGGGATTTCAAACACGCTGATAATGAGGGACTTATTGCCTACCTTAGCGGTATTGATTGGTACGGCTCTCTCAACTCGGCCGCTACAGTCAATGCCATGTATGAGCTGTTTATAAATATACTCCACCAGGCTATAGATCTCTTTGTCCCATGGGTCTCACTTCCACTGCATGCTACGGTGCTACCAACGCACCTGAGGAGGCTTCACTATAAGAGGGATGAAGCATGGAAAAAGGCTAACAGCACCGGAAATGATCTTTACTGGGAACAATTTAGACGATTTGATGCCATCTTCACCAAACGTTTGAAAAAGTACAATTCAGTCACTGAAAAGAAGGTTATTTCTTCCGGAAATAAACTTCTTTTTTACAGATTTGTCAGCTCTAGGCTTAAGGAAAAGAGTAGAATTGGTGCGATCTTATCTGATGATGGATCTGTATTGATCAATGACTACGAAAAAGCTGAATGTTTTGCTAGTGTTTTTGAAGAAGCCTTCTCAGATGAGGCTTCAGATGACGTGGTAGTTAGTCCAGTGTGTGCAGTGATGGAAGAGGGGCCGTGGTTTTATAGTGAAGAAATTTATAAATTGTTGATTACTTGGCCCAGGTCTTCATCTCTCACTCCCGACATGTTACCTCTCCAATTCATTAAGTCCATTGCGCATATAATTGCTGGTCCATTACAGTTTTTGTTCAATATGAGTCTAACTAGGGCTGAAGTCCCCAAGAGATGGCGCACCTCATATGTAACGCCCATTCCGAAAAAGAAACCTTATACCTGTCCAAAAAATTTTCGTCCCGTCAGTATCACTTCAGTCTTTGCCAGGTTATTTGAAAAAGTTCTGAAGAAACATATTGTTAAACACTTGAATAACCATGGCATTATTTCCTCTTCACAGCACGGGTTTCAGCGTGGTAGGTCCACGTCTACTGCGATGTTGCAATCACTCAATGAATGGACGCTCAACTTTGATAAAGGCCTCAATACGGATGTAATCTACTTGGATTTCACTAAGGCCTTTGATAAGGTACACCACAACAAGCTAGTTCAAAAACTAAGGATTGTGGGATTACATCCTCGTATTGTCGACTGGATCAAAGCTTTTCTTGAAGATAGGACATTTGTTGTCCGTATCAATAACACGTTCTCCGAGCCTAGACTCATGGGTAGCGGGGTGCCCCAGGGAGGAGTCCTGTCTCCTATTCTGTTCAACATCTACACCGATGAACTCCCCGCTATACCTACAAAGCACGGCGTTTCTTGCAGTGCGTTCGCAGACGATTTTAAGCTGTACACCACGGTCATCAACGATGGTGATCGCAGGCGCCTGCAAGAAGCGATAGACGACGTTTATAAATGGTCGCAAGAATGGAATTTGCCAATTTCAAGAGAAAAAACCAAATTCATGAGCATTGGTCCGCAAAACCGTACTTCTAATTTTAGTTACTCATTAGGAAATTCAGTTCTCCAGGCAATAGGGTCGGTCAGAGACCTTGGATTCTTGATAAATAGTAGTCTTACTTTTGAGGAGCACTGCAAGGTTATAGCGGATAAAGCAATGAGAGCGGTCTATAACTTATTTAGAGCGTTCTCAACGAAGGACACAGGGATTCTTTTGAAAGCATACAAGACTTACATCAGACCTATGTTAGAATATGGGACTGTGATATACAACCCACATCTGTGTAAAACTATAAGCTACTTGGAAAACGTTCAGAAAAGTTTTACGCGAAAGCTATTTATTCGCACTTTGGGTTTTGCGTACGATCTTATTCCTAATAGCAAGATTCGTGACAAGAAATTGGGTTTGACATCCCTTGCGTATAGAAGACGTAAAAATGACCTTATAATGGCCCATAAAATCTTGTTTGGAAATTGTGGATTGGATTTTTCGGAGTTTTTTCCAACTAGACCATCCAATACCAGAGGTGGTCCCAGAAAACTTATCATCTCCAGGGCAAGGCTAATGGTTAGGCGAAATTTTTTT